ATCAATATCACTGATGAACATAGATGCCAAAATCCTGAACAAAATGCTAGCAATTTGAATCCAGAAATACATCAAAAAAATGATTCACCATGACCAAGTGGGTTTCATCCCAGGGATGCATGGCTAGTACAATATTCGCAAATCAATAAATGTGATACATCACATAAGCAAAATGAAAGTTAAAATTATAAGATCATATCAATAGATGCTGAAAGAGCATTTGACAAAAATCCAGCATCCATGTATAATAAAAATGCTTAGCAATCTGGGAATAGATGGATCATATCTCAACAAAATAAAGGCCATATATGAAAGACCTACAGCCAACATCATACTCAATGGGCAAAAATTAAAAGCATTTCATTTAAGAGCAAGAACAGGACAAGGATGCCCACTTTTGCCACTCTTATTTAACATAGTATTGGAAGTCTTAGCCACAGCAATCAGACAGGAAGGAAAAATAAAAGGGATCCAAATGAAAAAGGAAGAAGTGAAACTGTCATTATTTGCAGATGACATGATACGTAAAAAACACCAAAGACTCCATCAAACATTTATTAGACTTAATAAATAAATTTTGCAATGTAGCTCGATACAAAATTAACGTCAAGTAATCGATGGCATTCTTATACACCAATGATGAACTCACAGAAAGAGAAACTAAAAAAACAATCCCATTTACAATCGCAGCAAAAAAGTTAAGATACTTAGGAATAAACTTAACCAAAGAAATAAAGGATCTATCTGCAGAAAACTACAGGTCATTGAAAAAAAGAAATAGAGGAAGATATATAAAAAGTGGAAGCTCATACCTTGTTCATAGATTGGAAGAATGAACATTATTAAAATGTCCATTCTACCCAAAGCAATCTATAGATTCAATGTAATTCCCATCAAAATGCCAATGACATACTTCACAGGACTAGAACAAATACTTCAAAAGTTCATATGGAACCAAAAAAGACCTCTAATAGCCACAGCAATCTTGAAAAAGAAGAACAAAGTTGGAGGGATCATGTTACCAGATTTCAGGTTATACTACAAAGCCACTGTAATGAAAACAGCCTGGTACTGGAACAAGAACGGGCATATAGACCAATGGATCAGAACCCAGAACCCAGAAATAAACCCAATGCAATATGCTCAATTAATATTTGACAATGGTGGCAAAAGCATACAGTGGAGTAAAGAGAGCCTCTTTAATAAATGGTGTTGGGAAAATTGGACAACTACATGCAAAAAAAAAATGAAACTAGATCATCAACTTACACCATACACAAAAATAAACTCAAAATGGATAAAAGACTTAAATGTGACTCATGAATCCATAAAAATCCTAGGAGAAAATGAAGGCAACAAAATTTCAGACATCATATGCAGCAGAATTTTCACTAATACATCACCTAAGGCAACAAAAACTAAGGAGAAAATGAACACGTGGGACTACATCAAACTCAAAAGCTTCTGCACAGCAAAAGATACAATCATAAAAATGGAAAGGCAACCCACTTTATGTGAGAGTATAATTGCCAAAGATACATCAGATAAGGGGTTAATTTCCAATATATAGAGAGTGCTCATACAACTCCACAAAGGAAGACAAAGAACCCAATTTAAAAATGGGCAGAGGAACTAAATAGACACCTCTCCAAACAGGATATACAAATGGCTAAGAGACATATGAAGAAATGCTCAACATCACTAATCATCAGAGAGATGCAAATTTAAAGAACTATTAGGTATCACCTCACACCTGTCAGAATGGCCGCCATCAACAAATCATCAAGCAACAAGTGTTGGCAAGGGTGTGGAGAAAAGTGGATTCTAGTACACTGCTGGTAGTAATGCAGACTGGTGCATCCATTATGGAAAACAATATGGTGTTACCTCAAAAAATTAAATATTGAACTGCCATTTGACCTAGGAATATACCCTAAGAAGCCTGAAACATGAATCAGAAAGAATATATGTACCCCCATGTTTGTATCAGCACTATTTACAATTGCTAAGATCTGGAAACAGCCCAAATGTCCATCAGTAGACGAATGGACAAAAAAGCTGTGGTACATATACACAATGGAGTACTATGCAGCTGTAAGAAAGAAAGATCTCTTATTCCTTGAGACGACATGGAGGTACCTGGAAAGTACTATCCTAAGCGAAACAAGCCAAACAGAGAAAGACAAGCATTATATGATCTCACTTATTTGTGGAATATAATGAACATAAGAGTCTGAGGAATGGGGTAGTCCCATAGACCAGGAAATGTGGTACAGACTGACAATCCCCAGAAGAAAGGGTAGTGGGGGAGAGATAAACCACAGAACTTATGTGAATGTATGCATGAAAAATGGACATGGACAACAAAGCTGGGGATACGGCTGGGAGGGATGATGATGGGGGAATCAGTGGGGGAAACAAGAGAAACATCTGTAACAAAAATTAATTAATTAATTTTTAAAAATCTGAAGTTGAGTTCACACTTTACTGTTTCGGTTCATAGTGGATTGGTAAATATTTTAAATTTGTCTCTAATCACAAACATTTGTGGAGGGATGATTTCTCTTCAAAACCCACACTCCAATGACCTGTTGAGAAATTTAGGACCAATGCCAGGCTGCAAACCATAAGTTGATCTTCTTGCACCAGCTTAAGATTCTTCAAGTCAATTCTTCCTTACAGAGAGATTGTGTTTCTCCTAAATTCAGCCCCCTGAAGACAAATCAGTTCATTTCTCTTGACAGGTCAAAACATGATTTAATTACTGAAGTATTACTTTTGAAAATATTTATTCATTTCTGTGACCTGCTAGATTCCTATATATATAGCTGATCATTTCCATTTTGTAACTTTATGTACACTATATCATAATCAACTATTTTTGCATAAAAATTATGAAATTTGGGAAAAATAAAACAGAAAAGAACAAAGACTTCTATACAAACACCTAAGAAGTTTACTCATCTATAAAATGGGAATATAAGCTAACCTGATATTATAAGTTTGTTATGAGAAATAAAATTAAATTATAACTATAAAATACTTAAACAGTGGTTTTCAATGCTAGTTGATCATTAAAATTAACTATCCATCTTTTAAAATTTAATAATGGGCTAGCCATACCCTAGAAACAATTAAATCAGAATTTCTATACATAAGTCCTTTGGGAATATTAACATATAGTCAGTGTAGAAAACAATTGCTGGCTATTAATAAGTGGTGTACTCATGTTATCAATTATTATCAATACCATTTACACACTACCCACATTAAAACATAAGTATTTCATAATACATGCTGTATAACTCATATTAATTACTGATAAAAATAGACAGTATTCCTATTTCTGCATGATCTTTCTCTGCTCTTCAACTGTCCAAAGGTAAACACTGTCGTGAATATGGTGGACACATATTTTTCAGTGTTTTTATACTATTAAGATTTAGTTATGTATGCATAATCAGTTTTCTTGAAAACTTACCTAAATACTCTCACACTACATATACTATTCCATGAGTTGCCTTTAAAGTCTCTCTGTGAAATACATACATCTATTTCAGCACTTTAAATGATGCTTAGTATTAAACGAGGGATAAATTTCACTTTATTTTTCAGTGTTTTATTATGACAGCACTAAGGAAATTCATATGTCTCTCTCCATATCACACAAGTGAGAATTTTCTCAAGATATATGCATGAAAGATCACTGTTTGTGTTGCTAAAATTGATACATGTGCAATTTTACTATTTTTTACATATACTTGTTTTCCCAATAGAAAAATCAGACAAAATCAACTGCATGCTCTCATTGCCAAGGTATAAACTTAGAAAGTTTCCTGAAGTGTGTCTAGCAATAATCTTTTCATGGTAGAGCCACATAAAAATGCCCATCTTGTATAGGGACTGATGTTTTCATCCTTGGGTTTACAAAATGTGCTGAAAATGCAAACTATTCAGAGAAAAACCCATGATCCACAACATTCATGCAATAAAGTTCCCTGCAAGTCTTTTGGTCCATTTTGCTAATTCACAGATGATCTCACCGAACACGAAGACAACTAATGGGTGATTATGCCCCTGTTCTAAAAGAAACAATCATTGTGCTGCAGTGGAGGGGACAGAGCCCCAGGGTGGGAATCAGGAGACCTATGTCTGAGTCCCACAGCTTTCACCCACTAATGTGAAGTGTGTGTGAATCTTTCCACCTCTCTGTGCTGGTGTCTCTTTCATGGAAATGGAAGAATGATACCCATCTCGGGGATTTGTGTGGCACCTAACACAGGTTTGTCTTTAATAAATATTCAGTGATGGTTTTTAAATCACATTGAAATAGTGAGTTTGTTGATGAACAACAATCTCAAGAAAGGTTTAAGGACATTTTATTCTATTACATGGCAGAGAGAGGTAGGAACCTATGATTTCCTGGATGATTCATTCATGGAATGAGTGGAAATCCTGAAATGTGTCTCAGTCCAAACAGTAAGATTTACTTCCCTCTCTTTTTTATTGCTTCATTCTTATGAAAATCTCCACAACTTTTCTTTACATTCAAAGGTTGTAGATGCTATTAACTGGAAAATGGTAGGTTTCTTTAAAAATCTGTTACCTAGACACATACAAGCACAGTTTTGTCTTCTGTCTAGTCCCAGGAGACAGTGCTGGAAGGGGGAAAGTACAGGAAAGAAACACTGTGCCTGTGGTAGCCATGTGGCCCACGTTCTGTTTCTGAGATCCAAGGAAGGGTCTATTCAGTATTTAGACTCTCAGAGATTGTTGTGGTTCTCTGCCAAGCAGAGTATAGGCCCTGGGGGATCAGAAAGGAATGAGACTCAATTGTTTCTCTCCAGGTAATCAGAATCTACCTGAATAAGGACAAAATACCTAAAACTTCCCATATTGATACTCTCCCATCTGTTTGTCACAATCTCCTGTTTGTCCTAATGATGAAAAAATAAGCTCCTAACAGTCTCTTCTCCATCCTACATCTCAACAGTACTCACTGCACTCTCCTCTCTCTGCTGGAGTATGACCAAGGAGTGGGAATCCACTGTTCCTGTCCTTCCTGGCAAGCAATGCAGGTTCAGGTTCTGTCCTCAGGACTGGCAGTATGGCAGAGTCAGTCATGGTCCTCCTGATGCAGTGGTTCTGAGAGGAGAAGACTCAGATGTGAAGACCACTGGACTGAGCAATGGAACCTGAAGGGCTGGAGGCACAAGCTGATTATGTATTCTTGCTTGGCCTTGAGAGCTCAATGCACAGAGCTCATAATTAGCCAAAAAGTTCTGTGTTATCTCAATCTCTCTAAGGATGCTATTATTAATACAAGAGGAAAAGGGAATGTAGTTGTTAAGCTTTTGGGCCCTTTCTTTTCTCAGGAGGGAGTTCCCTTGTACTCCTAGCTACAAGTTCCAATAATTCTATAAATGAAAGCAACATTTTTTTCAATTAGAAAAAAGCAATGTGTGACTTGTATGTTTGCACATTCATTGAACGGATGATACTGTGTCAGGATAATTATGTTTTCTATACCAAGAATATGGTATAATTTATATTTTCTCTTAAGAATCATGTCCCTAAAAAGAAACTTCTTTTCTTTCTGTACTACTGTTTTGGGGCTTTGTCTTAAGAGATGTGGTTTTCTTTTTAGTTTGAAAGACAGCCCGAGTTTGGCTCTTTCTGTAGAATTTTTGTATATTGTTACATTAGACAACAATCTATTTTGATAACCAAGTTGACAGTTTTCTTAAATCCTACAGGGAATTTCATTGATTATCTATATTCTAAATGTGGAATTGCAGTCATCTCAAGTCTTTAGTTTCAATTGAATTTAATCGGGTGGCATTGGTTAACAAAATTGTATTTGTTTCAGGTGTACAATTCTATAATACATCGTCTGTATATTGTATTCTGTGTTCACCACCCCAGGTAAAGTCTCCTTCCATCACCATTTATCCCAGGACCCTTTACCATACCCTTCTACCTTCCCCAATCCCCTCCCTGTTAATTACCATTCTATTGACTGTGTCTGAGGTTTATTTATATATATGTATATATATTTTTTGCTTAAACCCTTCACCTTTTTCACCCAGCCCCCCAATGTCCTTTTCCACTGACAGCTGTCAGTCTGTTCTCAGGATCTATGAGTCTGTTTCCATTTTGTTTGTTATTTTATTTTGCTCACTAGACTTCACATATAAGCAAAATAATATAGCACTTTTCTTTCTCTGACTGACCTATTTCACTTAGCATAATATCCTCTAGGTAAAAATATATGCAATAATAAAAACAAAATAAAGTAAAAAAATGTATTTTTATAATCAATTTATTTTTGTGACAGATGTTTCTCCTTTTTCCCCCATTGACACCCTCCTCCAGACAGCCCCCTCTCCTGCATCATCTCCAGCATGGTTGTCTATGTACATGGTTAAGCATATATGCACATAAGTTCTATTGTTTATTTCTTCCCTCCCCCATCCCCCTCTGACCCCATTTTCTTAAGTTTTTCAATTGGGACCCTACTTCTATGTCTCTGGGCCTATTTTCTTTATCAGTTTGTTTTGTTGATTTTATTCCACAAATAAGTGAGATTATGTGATATTTTTCATTCTCTGATTGGCTGGTTTTGCTTAAAATAATATGCTGCAGGTCCCTTCACGTGGTCTCAAAGGATAAGAGATCTTTCTTTCTTACAGCTGCATAGTATTCCATTGCATATATGTACCACAGCGTTTTTATTTACTCATCTATTGATGGAAACTTAGCCTGTTTCCAGATCGTAGCAATTGTAAATAGTGCTACTATGAACATAGGAGTACATATACTATTTCTGATTGGAGTTTCAGGGTTCTTAGGATATATTCCTAAAATTGGTATCACTGGGTCAAATGGCAGTTCAATTTCTAATTTCTGAGGTAACACCATATGGTTTTCCACAGCAGCTGCACCAGTCTGCATTCCTGCCAGCAGTGTACTAGAGTCCCCTTTTCTCCACACCTTGCCATCACTTGATGTTTGATTTGTTAATGGCAGCCATTCTGACAGGTGTGAGGTGATACCTCATAGTTGTTTTAATTTACATCTCTCTGATGATTAGTGATGTTAAAGATTATTTCATATGTCCCTTGGCCATTTGTATGTCCTGTCAGAGAGGGACCTATGTAGGTCCTCTGTCCATTTTGTAATTGAGTTTTTTGTCTCCTTTTGTGTAGTGGTATAAGCACTCTATATTTAGGAAGCTAGTCCTTTATTATCATTGGGAATTATGCTGTCCCATATAGTTGGTTCCCTTTCCATTTTGATAGTTGTTTCATTTGCTGTGCAGAAGCTTTTGAGTTTGACGTAGTCCATGTGTTCATTTTCTCCTTTGTTTCTGTTGCCTTAGGTGATGTGTCAGGGAAAATTCTGCGGCGTATGATGTCTGAAATTTTGTTGCCTACAGTTTCTTCTAGGATTTTTATGGATTCATGAGTCACATTTAAGTCTTTTATCCATTTTGAGTTTATTTTTGTGTATGGTGTAAGTTGATGGTCTAGTTTCACTTTTTTACATGTACCTGTCCAATTTTCCCAACACCATTTATTAGAGGTTGTCTTTATTCCACTGTATGCTTTACCATCTTTGTCAAATATTAATTGAGCATATGGCCTTGGGTCCATTTCGGGGTTCTCTGTTCTGATCCACTGGTCTATATGCCTATTCTTGTTCCAGTACCAGGCTGTTTTGATTACAGTGGCTTTGTAGTATAAATTGACATATGGTAATGTG